GGTAATCATACAGGAACCAAGCACTTCATTAAAATACATAAAATGATTAATTTAATATTAAAGTATTAAATTTAATATTTAATATATTTAATATAAAATTTAAAATGAGAAGAAGCTAGTAAGGCATGAGAAAGGCACTATTTTCAATAGGGTGTTCAGGGAAGCATCTTCAAGGAGGTAAGCTCAGAAGCAAGACTCAAATGATGTGGAGGGTGCTAGCTATACAAAGAACTGGGGTTAGAATGTTCCAGGAAGGAAATATGTGCTTTAGGTGTAAAGGTTCTGGAGTGGGAATGAGCTTGAGGTGTTTATGTCTGACTTGAAGTAAGATAAAGAAGAGTGCTATGAAAGTTAAGCAGAGCCAGGTCATGTGTTTGGATTTATTTCTGAGTATGATGGGAAGGGGTGAAATGGGGAGATGTTGGTTAAGGGTACAGTTTTAAGACCAGTAAATTTTGGGACCCAATGTACAGATGACTATAGTTAACAATAATTATATACTTGTAAGTTAGTAACAGAGTAAACCTAAATGTTCGCAGCACAACAAAGAAACGGTAATTATGTGACATGATGGAGGTGTTAGCGAATGCTATGGTGGTGGTCACTTAGCAATATATAAGTGCATCAAATCAACACACTGTACACCTTAAATATATACAGTGTTATATGTCGATTATATGTCAATGAAACTGGGGAAAAGTACAACGAGAAACCCTTTCAGGATTCTGAGCAAGTGGTAATAACTGTCTGAAAGACCATATGGTGCTGTGTGAAAGCAGCGCACAGCAGGGCAAGACCGGAAACAGAGCTCAGGAAGCCCCTCCACTGGCCGGCCCAGAGATGCTGGCAGCGCTGCTCACCGGGCTGCGGAGAGGATTAGAAGTCGGTACATTCTGAGTGCCAAAAACAAGAGGCGCAGGATAGGCTTGTCATGATTTAAACCATCGTGAAAAACATAAAGCAGAAGGGTTTCCCATGTATTCTCTGTATACAAATATTTTAAACTGTACACTACTATTACTCAACTCCCCAGTGAGAAAATTATGTATAATTTCTCCCCGTATGGTATTT